CACACACACACACACACACACACACACAGGGCCCGGGTTCGATCCCCGGCTGAGGCAGAAAGAAATCGGCAGGGTTCCTTTCGCCCTATTGACCTAGCTTAGTTCCCCTAGCAGTAAATAGGTACCAGGAAGTTAGACCGCTGCTAAGGGCTGCTCCATAGGAGTTAGACAGCTGCTACTGGCTGCTTCCTGGGTGTATGTGAAAAAAAAACAGTTGATTGATTGACAGTTGAGATGCGAGCCCAAAGAGCCAGAGCTCAACCTCCGCAAGCACAACTAGGTAAGTACAACTAGGTGAGTACAACTAGGTGAGTACACAGTCCGAAAGGAAGAAAATTTAATGCAGACGAGAAACGAATGATTTAATTAGAGATGTAAGCTAGCAAAGCAACTAAGTTCAAGGGTGTGAAAAAACTATAGAAATTACAAGACACTAGAGAGTCGAGAAAGATACCAGAGTCTCAGGAACATCAGGAGAAAAACAACAGTGACAGACCAGGTAATGATACTCAGGATGGAGGTAGACAGATTCAATACCAACGACAAAGTGTGCGATGAACTCAATAAGATATTCCAGGAGGTCTTCACAGTTGAGCAAGGAGAAGTCTCAGAAATAAGGGAAGGAATATCTAACCAGATACCACTAGAGGAGTTTGTGATTGCCAGTGGGGAGGTTATCTTGAGATGATTTCGGGGCTTTAGTGTCCCCGCGGCCCGGTCCTCGACCAGGCCTCCACCCCCAGAAAGCAGCCCGTGACAGCTGACTAACACCCAGGTACCTATTTTACTGCTAGGTAACAGGGGCATAGGGTGAAAGAAACTCAGCCCATTGTTTCTCTCCGGCGCCCGGGATCGAACCCGGGACCACAGGATCACAAGTCCAGCGTGCTGTCCGCTCGGCCGACCGGCTCCTTTTGAGGAAGTATCTTCTAGAGTTGGATGTGATGAAGGCTATAGCATCGAATGGAACCTCACCATGAATACTGAAGCAGGGAAGGAGAGAATTATCAGGGAAAAGCGTCAAGCCATGGCCACTATATAGCATTTGGAAAGTGTCAGGATAAAGATTTGGGATGGGATGGAGGGAAGTAATGGTGCCCAATCACCTGGACGGTCGGGGATTGAACGCCTGCCTGCATGAAGCGAGACCGTTGCTCTACAGTCCAGCCCAAGTGGTTGGGTTCATGGATACTGAATGAAAGAGCAAAAGCTCCGTGCCTGGCACTCTCCATCGTGTATAACAAATCACTGGTAGCAGGTGAACTGTCAAAAATTTGGAAGACGTTTAATGTAGTTCCGATATTCAAGAAGGGTGATAAACGGTAAGCACTGAACTACAGGCCAGTGTCCCTAACTTGCACAATATGTAATATGATGTGTGTAAAAAGCTAGTGGAACGTCTGTAACGAAAGAACCTTTAACATAACATCAGCATGAGTTCAGGGGTGGCAAATCATGCCTCACAGGATTAATTGAATTCTATGAGCAGGCAACAAAAATCATGCAAAAGACTGCTGGACAGACTGCATATTTTTGAACTGCCTGAAAGTCTTTGACATAATACCACATAAGAGACAAGGGCACAAGCTGGAGATGCAGGCAGGAATGAAAAGGAAAGCACCCCAATGAATAAGGGAGTTCTTAAGCAAAAGAAGACAGCGAGTCACTGTGAGGGGTGAAGTATTGGGTGAAACCTATACTGTTTCTAATATATATAAATGATCTCCCAGAGGGAACAGACTCGTTTCTCTTAGTGTTTGCTAATGATGCAAAAATTATGAAGAGGATTAAGGAAAAGGAAGAGAGTGTGAGGTTACAAGATGACCTAGACAAACTGAAGGAATGGTCCAACTAATGGCTGCTAAAGTTCAACCCACTTAAATGTAAGGTAATAAAACTAGGTGGTGGAAATAGGAGGCCAGCCACTGGATACAGAAGAGGAGATGAAGTCATTCACGAAAAGGACACAGATAAATATCTAGGAGTTGATATCACACCAACCTGTCTCCTGAAGCCCACATCAAAAGAATAACATCGGCAGCGTATGCGAGGCTAGCTAACATCAGAACTGCCTTCAGAAACCTGAGTAAGGAATCTTTCAGAACCTTGTATACCGCATATGTGAGACCAATCCTGGAGTGCGTGGCCCCAGCATGGAGCCCGTGTATTTTCAAGCACAAGACAAAGCTGGAAGAAGTTCAGAGGTATGCCACTAGGCTAGTCCCAGAACTAAGGAGCATGAGTTATGAGGAAAGGCTGATTGAACGGCATCTCACGTCCCCTGGAAGACAAGACCTTGGGGAGACATGATCACATACAAAATTCTCAGGGTAATTGACATGGTAGACAAGAATGGATTATTTAACACGATGGTACTCGTACAAGGGAACACAGACGAAAGCTGAGTACCTAAATGAGCCACAGGGACATTAGAAAGAAGTTTTCAGTGTCAGAGTAGCTAGTAGATGGAACGCACGAGGAAGTGATGTGGTGAAGGCTGACTCCTTACACAGATTAAAATGCAGATATGATGGATCTCGAGTGGCTCTGGGATCTGTACACCAGCAGATACACGATTTGAGAGGCAGGACCAAAGAGCCAAAGCTAAACCCCCACGAGCACAACTAGATGAGGACAACTAGTTGAGTTCAACTGGGTGAGTACTCACACACACACACACACACTATTTTTATTTATTTAAACAATGTCACCGTATTTTAACAGAGTATATTTACCGTTAGACAAATATTTTTGTTAAATACCCTCAATTACTTAAAATCTCATATTGGAATAGATTTTTAAGATATTAATTACATACACAAAAATTTAAATCCTCTATAATTTTAGACTTACCTTTAATATATATATTTTGCAGGCAAGACAATTATGAGACGGATCTTAGCCAGTACGACTGTGTACAGGTCAGTCTTCAGTGGCTATCATGATGGTAGGTCTCCGGAGACATAATAATTTGGGATCATAATTTTAGGTTATGGTAATTATAAGGAGAAAGCACTTATAACGTCTTTATATTGGGCACATGTGGGCAGAGAGCAGTAACAGACAGAAGGAAAGAACGGTTCCAAAGCATTTGGACCGTAGGGGTTTTGACTCCGACCTGCAAGAAGTGAGATCCACATGCCCTGACTAGTCCAAGTAAGTAATTATCAAAAGACGGTGCCAAGCCGGGGAGGCTATGTACATGGCTTGGCTACATTGCCCAAGTGGATGGCTATCAGTGTATTATCAAGAGATAGGAGAGGGAGGAGGCGTAGTTAACATATTATCAATAATGGTATCAATTACGGGGTTTATTTGTCTATGCAGGCTTTGGTTTTGGCTACATTGATGGTGAAGGCTGCTATGATTGTGGTGACTTGTGGATGGTTCTGGCTTTAGCGAAGACGGTTCTCACTGTGGTGAAGAAGGTTATGGTTATGGTGAAGTTCGTTTTTGTTAAGATAAAGATGGTTCTGGTTGAGATAAAGACGGTTCTGTTTTTGGTAAATATGGTTCTGGTTGCAGTGAAGATGGTTCTGGTTGAGATTAAGATGGTTCTAGTTTGGGTGAGAATGGTTCTGGTTGCGGTGAAGACGGTTCTGGTTGAGATAAAGACGGTTCTGTTTTTGATAAATATGGTTCTGGTTGCAATGAAGATGGTTCTGGTTGAGATTAAGATGGTTCTAGTTTGGGTGAGAATGGTTCTGGTTGCGGTGAAGATGGTTCTGGTTGAGATTAAGATTGTTCCTGGTTGTGGTGAAGATGGTTCTGGCTGTGGTGAAGGTGGTTCTGGTTGTAGTGAAGATGGTTCGTCACGTGAGGGTGGTACTGATTAAAGTGAAAATATCTCAGACAAAAAAATCGTAAAGATCATTATAGACATCGTAGGCGTAGTCTGATGGCTGATAGTCATTCTCCGTCTCCTGGAATTAATCAAATATTCACCAAATACTGACCACCAGATCAGTAGTTCTGGTGGTCAATATACACAGTAGTTTTGGTGGTGGTGGTGTCGGAACTGATAGTACGTGTACGTATGGTTGAGCTTCAGATTCGAAATAAAGAGACCCCTAAAAAAAGTAAAAGTTTTGATGGTTCCCAGGCGGTAAGGAATGGTTCCGACACTGGTTCAGGAATGTTGGTGGAGTAAACCATCTTAACGTTTTTTAGGTTCATGTATATTAATCAGAGTATTAGTCATACAAAAGCGAAATTATCTCGTCCTCAATGCTTAAAGGAGTTGAAAGTCCCTGTAATTCCTGTCCTGGATGTTGTAATTGCTGAGATGAAGATGAACATTGTTAATGTCCGTCCTCATAAATAAAATCCAGTAGGGACATAAAATCATCATCAGTACTTGGAGGATTTGAAGAAGTTTGAGTTTCGTATGCAGGATAATTGTCTGGCTGAACTGGTGATAAACATTATTCAGTTGAGTCTCCAAGCAAGTCATCCATAAGCGACATAAAATCCTCTTCACTGCTTGGATGATTTGATTACATGTATGTTTCCTACTGAGGACCAATATCCAGACCAACTCCAGACACATTCATCGTATTGTGTCCAGAGTCACGTGACTGTGACTGAGATTGAGGTGCAAAGTCTGGTTTCATATCATGAGTCTCGGCTTTATTCCTTCTTCGGTCATCACGGGCTTTCTTACCTGAGGCTCTAGCGCCGACCTTTTTTTCCGCTTTTTTTCAAGACCATTTACAAGAGGCAAGGTTCGTTTTTGTTAAGATAAAGATGGTTCTGGTTGAGATAAAGACGGTTCTGTTTTTGGTAAATATGGTTCTGGTTGCAGTGAAGATGGTTCTGGTTGAGATTAAGATGGTTCTAGTTTGGGTGAGAATGGTTCTGGTTGCGGTGAAGACGGTTCTGGTTGAGATAAAGACGGTTCTGTTTTTGATAAATATGGTTCTGGTTGCAATGAAGATGGTTCTGGTTGAGATTAAGATGGTTCTAGTTTGGGTGAGAATGGTTCTGGTTGCGGTGAAGACGGTTCTGGTTGAGATTAAGATTGTTCCTGGTTGTGGTGAAGATGGTTCTGGCTGTGGTGAAGGTGGTTCTGGTTGTAGTGAAGATGGTTCGTCACGTGAGGGTGGTACTGATTAAAGTGAAAATATCTCAGACAAAAAAATCGTAAAGATCATTATAGACATCGTAGGCGTAGTCTGATGGCTGATAGTCATTCTCCGTCTCCTGGAATTAATCAAATATTCACCAAATACTGACCACCAGATCAGTAGTTCTGGTGGTCAATATACACAGTAGTTTTGGTGGTGGTGGTGTCGGAACTGAGAGTACGTGTACGTATGGTTGAGCTTCAGATTCGAAATAAAGAGACCCCCCAAAAAAGTAAAAGTTTTGATGGTTCCCAGGCGGTAAGGAATGGTTCCGACACTGGTTCAGGAATGTTGGTGGAGTAAACCATCTTAACGTTTTTTAGGTTCATGTATATTAATCAGAGTATTAGTCATACAAAAGCGAAATTATCTCGTCCTCAATGCTTAAAGGAGTTGAAAGTCCCTGTAATTCCTGTCCTGGATGTTGTAATTGCTGAGATGAAGATGAACATTGTTAATGTCCGTCCTCATAAATAAAATCCAGTAGGGACATAAAATCATCATCAGTACTTGGAGGATTTGAAGAAGTTTGAGTTTCGTATGCAGGATAATTGTCTGGCTGAACTGGTGATAAACATTATTCAGTTGAGTCTCCAAGCAAGTCATCCATAAGCGACATAAAATCCTCTTCACTGCTTGGATGATTTGATTACATGTATGTTTCCTACTGAGGACCAATATCCAGACCAACTCCAGACACATTCATCGTATTGTGTCCAGAGTCACGTGACTGTGACTGAGATTGAGGTGCAAAGTCTGGTTTCATATCATGAGTCTCGGCTTTATTCCTTCTTCGGTCATCACGGGCTTTCTTACCTGAGGCTCTAGCGCCGACCTTTTTTTCCGCTTTTTTTCAAGACCATTTACAAGAGGCAATTTCCTCTTGGCCTGAGGCTTGTAAACCATCTTATCTTTTGCATCCAGCCAGGCCAAGCCTTGGAAAGCGTACTGATTACCGTACTTGGCACCCAACCTCTTCACAGCCACGCCGGCTGCACTAAGCTACATTCCGAAGTCGACGGCTTCTGCCGCATGTTCTTTGTTCACAAAGCAGTAATGTAAGTGATGCATGATTACGTCATGACGGAAGATCAAGTCAATGGGGTCATTGGTGAAAATAATATTTTCCATTACAAATTTCTCAAAGGCTTCCCTACCCGCATACCTCCTTTGAGACTCCAGGAACCGTTTGAGAAACTCTTCATCCTAGCGATCTCGAGCAGCCATGTTTATGTTTACTTGGACAAATGTAAACGTGTAATATTTATGTGTAATGAGGAATGTAAATGTGTAATGTTTACTTGGCTTTGGTTGCTCATACCTCCAAATACATAACACAATCAAAGATCTCGAAATTTAGTTAGTTCAGATGATGTGAATTATAAGAATGAAAATTATGTTGATGTTTAAAAAAATACTGTAGTTAGAGATATGGCAAAGAGGGATAGTAATGAATATGGCAACTTGAAGTGATAAGCATGATGCATATGGTAATCATGAGTATGCACACAGAAATCATTAACGTGACGTAAGAACATATAAATGAAGATAACTGCAGAAAGCCTATTGGCCCATCCAGAGCAGCAACTTTATCTCCACCCAATCTCATTCTCAAAAGCTTCAAATAATACAGTAGCTAGAGATATAGTAAAGAGGGTAGTAATGAGTACGGTAGATTACTACTGAACTCAATACTTTATAGGAAAGTAATGAGTGCGAATATATAGATTTAGGAGCTCCTATCCTAAATCTAAGCTTATCCAATTTATACTCATTGCTTCATGTTCTGTCTTATGTTGATACTTTTAAAACCTTATTAATATCTCTTTTGTTATGTCCATTCAACCACTTTTACACCTCAATCATGTCAGCCCTAATTCTTCGCCTTTTAAGAGATTGTAATTTAAGCTTTGTCAATTTTTCTTCATATGACAGGTTTCTAATTTGGGGGATTAACTTTGTCATCCTACGCTGGACACGTTCTTGCGAGTTTATATCCATTCAATAATACGGCGACCAAAACTGAACAGAGTAATCTAAATGGGGTAGTGATGACTATTGTGCTAATGGTAATGATGAGTATGGTGCATATGGTAGTGATGAGCATGGTGCATATGATAGTGGAGTTTATGGTGAATATGGTAGCATTGATTATGTTCCATATGAAAGTGATGAGTATGGTGCATATAGTAGTTATGACTATGGTGCTTATGGAAGTGACGAATATGGTGCATATGGTATTGATAAGTATGGTGCACATGGTAGTAATGAGAATGGTACATGCAGTAGTGATGAGTATAGTGCTTCTGGTAGTAATGACTTTGCTCAATGTGGTAGTGATGAATATAATGCACGTGAACAACCAGAGCGCAACTCCATAGTCTCCTGAGCCTGATGGATGCCTGCTATGTTGCATATGATTGGGATGACATGAGTGCTAATGGTAGTGATGACCATGTTGCATATGGTAGTGATGACCATGTTGCATATGGTAGTGATGGCCATGTTGCAAATGGCAGTGATGACCATGTTGCAAATGGTAGTGATGACTATGGTGTATATGGTAGCAATGAGTATTATGTATATGGTAGTGATGATTATGGTGCATATGGTAGTTATGAGTAGAGTGCATATGGTAGCGATGAGAATGGTGCATATGTTAGTGATGAGTTTGGTGCATATAGTAGTGATGACCATATTGCATATGGCAGTAATGAATATGGTGCATATGGTAGTGATTAGTATTGTGCATATGGCAGTGATGACTATTGTGCATATGCTAGTGATGACTATGCTGCATATAGTTGTGATGAGTATGGTGCATATGTTAGTGATGATTATGGTGCATGTGGTATTGACGACTATGGAGTTTACGGTAGTGATAAAGTTGACCAGACCACTCATTAGAAGGTGAAGGGATGACGACGTTTCGGTCCGTCCTTGACCATTCTCAAGTCGATTGTCACAATCGACTTGAGAATGGTCCAGGACGGACCGAAATGTCGTCGTCCTTTCACCTTCTAGTGTGTGGTCTGGTCAACATACTTTAGCCACGTTATTGTGACTTATCGCCTGCATATGGTAGTAATGAGTTTTGTGCATATGGCAGTGATGACTATAGTAGTAGTAGTAGTAGGCATCCATCAGTTTCAGGAGACTATGGAGTTGCGCTCTGGTGTCCGTTTGGTCTGGAGTTGCCTCACCAGGGCGCAAAGCCAGGATAGGTCGATTCGGGGCAGAAGCTGTTACCCAGGCAGATGGTCCCCCCTCCCTCCCCACAGCGTTAAAAGTCTCCAATGGAAAGGCATACGCCAATACTATTGGTTCCAGCGCCGTCGCAGGAACTGTGAGTTCCGGGAATGACCTCGAAGTTGGTGAAAAAGGGCACAGAGACCTCCAACCTTGGAGACCGCCGTGGACGTGGCCGGAGAAGAACTCCCCATCAAGGGTATGAACGATCCCAACCTCCTGATGATGTCTGATGGTCTAACGTTTCGGGAGCATAAACAAGCAAATATTGCATCAGCCAGAAAAATAATCGGATGGATTACGAGAATTTTCAAATCAAGGGATCCCATCACAATGGTTGTACTCTTCAAGTCACTTGTGTTGTCCCGTCTTGAGTACTGCTCGGTACTCTCTTCCGCCTTCAGAGCAGTAGAGATTGCTGAAAAAGAGGGAATACAGAGAACATATGCGGCACGCATAGACCCGATAAAGCACCTAAACTATTGGGATCGTCTCAAAGCTCTCCAAATGTACTCACTAGAAAGGAGATGAGAGAGATACCAAATAATATTCATATGAAAAATACTGGAGGGCCAAGTACGAAATCTACACAGTAAAATAACAACGTACTGGAGTGAACCATATGGAAGAAAATGCAGAATAGAACCTGTCAAGAGCAGAGGTGCCATAGGCACAATCAGAGAACACTGTATAAACATCAGAGGTCCACGGTTGTTCAACACCCTCCCAGCGAGCGTAAGAAATATTGCCGGAACGACCGTGGACATCTTCAAGAGGAAACTAGATTGTTTCCTCCAAGGAGTGCCGGAGCAGCCGGGCTGTGGTGGGTATGTGGGCCTGCGGGCCTTGTCACGTGGGGGTGGGCGGTCCGGGGCTCTGCTAACACTCGGCTGCTAGGGGCTCAAAGGCCCAAATACTCAGCCCCTCCGACTCCCTGGATTCACCGGAGTCTCCTTGGTCACACAAGAGAGGACCAACAATGCCCACCTCCGCAGGTCTTTGCTTCCACCACAAAGGGGTGCCACTGATTCACCCTGGAAGCCCTTCAGTCAAACACGGGGAAACTGCTGTTAACAGTTCCGGCCTAGACCCGTGGGGGAGTGAAGGAAGACTCAGGCTTACCTATAACCATAACCTCCCTGAGTCTTGCCTGCCAGACAAAAAAAGGTTGCAGGAACTCCTTTCCCGCCTGTCTTCTCTATCTTCCTCTTAGCAAGGTCGCCAGCTGGGTTATTATATCTGCACCCCAGCAATGCAGTTCAGTGGGTGTATTATATATTGTTTGTAGCCAGAAATGTATGCTCATAGAGAAATATCATAAATGGAGGCACACTCAAACACAGTAATAAAATGTGTGGATTTACTGATGCAAATTACATGAACACACACACACAATCACAAGTAATACATGAATATGGAATATGGATAATGAGTCTGGAGATCGTCAGCCTCTTCTTCCACGACCTCCAACACTCCTTCAACTGGGCAGGAAGACAGGAGTCTCACACTCTCACAGGAGGGCCTCTTCACCACGTCGGCACCTCTTCTTCACTGTCCTGCCATCCATACACACTGTCCTCTCTGACAGTCCTGGACACAAGCTGCCTTGCAGCCTATTCTACTATTAAAGTAATAAAGTCTTGCTGCCACATACACAAGTAAATATTGTGGCCTAACTAGCCTACTCATACAAGGGGTAATGGGAGGGAAAATGATCTACCTTACACTCCTGGCTCACGACGCCTGTCCCTCGATGGTGTGAGGTTCCCACGCTTCCTTGGGTCGATCCTCGACGATCCAGGACGTTCCACAGGTCCTCAGGTGTCGTGAAGCCTTCGCGTCGTCGCCGTTCCAATCCCTGAGATTCAGCTGCCCCAATCCTGGTTCATCGATGGGCGCTGAGCTAATCACTATTTTTCCCCACACTCGCCTCTCCCACAGGGCGTCGCTCCTTGTCCTAGGCACGGTGTCGTCC